GTCCAGCTTTGTGCAGGGTCGCCAGATTACTGATAATATTGTTCTTGCTCAAGAGCTTATCCACTCGATGCGGGGAACGAAGGGTACACGGGGTTATATGGCCGTGAAGGTGGACTTGGAAAAAGCTTATGATTACCTTCGGTGGGACTTCATCAGGGAGACACTTGAGTTTGTTGGCTTCCCTACTGTCTTTGTTCGTGCAGTGATGTCCTGCATCACATCTGCTACCATGCAGCTACAGTGGAATGGTGGCATCAGTGAGGAGTTTATTCCTAACCGTGGCATACGACAAGGTGACCCCATTTCACCGTACTTATTTGTTTTGTGTATTGAGCGGCTGGCTCATATGATTGACCGCTCAGTGGGGATGGATATATGGAGGCCGATCCGGGTGGGGCATAGCCAGATTCCCGTGCCATATCTTATGTTTGCTGATGATCTTTTGTTGTTCTTAGAGGCGACTCCAGCCCAGGTGGAGGGTCTGCACACTACCTTACGCATTTTTTGTCAGGCCTCAGGCCTGAAAGTGAGCGAGCCGAAGACTCAGGTGTTTTTCTCGCCCAATGTGGATTCCCAGTCTCGTTTGGTCTTGGCAAATCGCCTTGGGTTTCAGGTGGTCGATAACTTGGGGAAATACTTGGGGATGCCACTCATACATAGTCGGGTAACAAAGAACACGTACGTGGAGCTAGTTGAGAAGGCTGATAAAAGGCTTGCTGGTTGGAAGGCCTCTTCGTTATCTATGGCAGGACGAGTTACTCTTGCTCAATCGGTACTGGCTTCTCTTCCTTACTTCTCCCTGCAAACCGTCTCGCTCCCGCACGGCGTGTGTGATAGCTTGGAACGGAAGTGCCGCAATTTTATCTGGGGGGGTACAACCACTACTCGGAAAGTTAGCCTTGTGTCCTGGTCTGAGGTGTGTCGACCCAAGTCCGATGGGGGGCTGGGAATGCGTGACCAACGTGTGATGAACAAGGCCCTACTGATGAAGCTGGCGTGGATATTTTTATCTAGGCCGGATTTGTTGTGGTGTCGAGTGCTTCGGGCAAAATATGACTTACATCCGTCGACGATGTGTGCGGAGTATGAGTTTCCAAGCGGCTCGACGGTGTTATGTGCGATACGAGAAGTTTGGCCGGCCACGATTGCGGGTGTACGGTGGAGTTTGGGTGATGGCTGTGGTGTACGGTTTTGGTGGGATAGGTGGGTGCACTTACCTGACCCGCTGATTTCATTTACGACTGGTTCGGTCCCCGAAGAACAGCTCCAGGCCCCAGTTCGTGCATTCGTGGCTCTCGATGGTCGGTGGGATTGGTCGAAATTTCAGGGACTGCTACCTGCGGTGGTTCTTCTCCGAATTGCTGCCATTCCGCCGCCGCTCGCCTCTGGTGGGTCTGATGTCATTTATTGGGGTTGGTCGGAGGATGGGCGCTTCTCCACACGTTCAGCTTACCGAGCGCTGTCGCAGCCGGAGGTGGGTCGAGCTGATAGTCTATGGCGGGTTATATGGCGATGGTCGGGACCTCAGCGGGTACGTGCGTTCCTCTGGTTGGCCGCTCGTCAATGCCTGCTGACGAATGAAACGCGTGTGAGGCGACATATGGCGGCGAGCTCTTTGTGCCAGGTTTGTTCCTTGGCGGCTGAATCCACTATCCATGTTTTGCGTGACTGTGCTCCGGCAACGGAAACCTGGCAGAAGCTTGTCCCGCGGGCGCGTTGGAGGGAGTTTTTCTCTTTGAATTTTCGGGCATGGCTGCTGCAGAATTTAGCCGGTAGTTTTCTTCCGGAAAGTGATGATTGGCCGACACTTTTTGGCCTGACTGCTTGGAGCTTGTGGAAATGGAGAAATCTGGTATTGTTCGAAGGTCGTGAGACGACGGTGAATCACGAGGTTCGCGAGGTTGTGTGTTTCTCGAGCCAGATGCGTGATGCTTTAGTTGATAGCCGTCGTGTATTCGGCGCGAAATGAGATGTCTTTCTTGGTCGGCTCCACCGGAGGGGGTGTTGAAGGTTAATACGGATGGTAGTTTTGTCCCGACGACGGGGATGGCGAGTGCTGGAGGGGTTGTTCGAGACCACTGTGGGACGTGGATTGGCGGCTTTACAATGAATATTGGCTATTGTTCTATTGTGGGAGCCGAACTTTGGGGCCTGTTCCAAGGTTTGCAGTTGGCGTGGGATATCGGTGCCCGTAAACTTGTGGCGGAAGTGGATAATCAAAGTATAATTGCCTTGGTTCATAGTGAGGCACCTACCGGGCCACATGGGAGTCTTATCCGGGGTATTAAAGATTTGATGGGGCGTCCTTGGGATCTTCAACTTGTTCATGGTCATCGTGAGACAAACGTTGTGGCGGATTTCTTGGCTTCTCTTGCAGCTAAAGGAGCGGGTGGTTTGCACCGTTTTGATCATCCTCCGTTGGGAGCCGGGCCTTGGTTACAACATGATCTTCTTGGTGTGGCTCAGCCACGTCGAGTCGTGATCGAGCACTAGCGTTAGCTTTGCTTTCCTTTTCTTGTACCAAAAAAAAATGATGAAATTTCAACAAAACATTCCGACAAGAATATATTTCAATTGAATTCCAACGACAATTTCATTGGACATTCTATTGCTATTATTTCCGTTAGAATTTTTCAATTGGTTCAAACGAATATTCCAACAAAAGTAATCCGTCGGAATGAACATTTTCAGTGGAATTTAGTTGGAACCGTTCCAACATAAACTAATATCATTGGAGTATCCATTGAATATGTTACTGTGGAATTTTCTGTCGGAGTATGACATTATTTATTGACGAACTATTTTGACATAAAAAAATTATTTTAGGGCAGATTTAATACATATTATTTCACAACATACGTAATATTATTTATCTACAGAAATTACATTTTTAGAATTTAGTTATTAATTTTTCCTTTTCACATATAGTACATGGTTGTTTTTATGTGTGTTTTATTTTTATTATTAGTAAGTTTAAAATTAAAGGCTTGATAAGTTGAAATACTGTATTATGCTAGTAAAAAATAATTCAAAACAACAAATTTTAATCTAAATAATTCTAGCCTTGCTATATTTCAAATCCTAGCTCCGCTGCTCAGATCGAATCCATAGGTCTGTATACCTTCAGATCAAATTTTTATCAAATTATCCGAGGGTCTTAGTTCGACTTGCCGGCGAGCCTCCTTACCTAAGAAGTCACCATCGACCTGATGGTCCGACGACCTCCAATATCCCTGATCTCGATCAACTTGCCAATGCACGATTAGACCACTTCTTGGGTCGAGCTGACCAGTGGGTGGTATCTAACATCACATGTGACACTCAAATTGTTAACGATACACATCAAGTAGTACAAACCAAAAGCTGGTGTCTTTAATATTATCAAAATAGGAAGGTAGTATTTAAAATTTAAGTTGGATGAATTTAGAAGAAAGCTATAAATATAAACCATCATATTTTTATCCAAATAAATCCATTTGAAAATGTTTATATGTCCAAAAGATTTGAGCTTGTGATTTTGCTAAATAAGTAGCTAAAATTGTGCTACAAAGTCAACTATGTTCCCCACTTTTTTCCAAGAAACCGATGATACACGTTTAAACACACTCCCTCTCTATCTCCTTTTTCAAAAAAAAAAAAAAA